TATGCCGGGAAAAACTTTTTTTTTTTTTTAATTAGAGCGGTAGCCTCTATTTATATCATACTTATGATGAAATATAAAGTATCCTTACGTGAAACCAGTCAGTGGCGTAAAAAAAAAAAAATAATAATAATAATAATTTTTAAAAAATTTAAAATTCAGGACCCCCCTGTTGTGCTGAAAATTTTTCAATGACGATTGATTAATTGACTCGGACTCAACTTTAAGCACGTTACAGTCGACTGCAAAACATTTTTGTCCTTCAACCCTTCTTGTTCACAAGATACCTGCAGTAGAAACAGGCCCTAAACGTTCCGGTAAGTGGTAGACATTTAATGAACTGTCAAGATGCAAGCAGATGAGTGCTGAACTTTGTGCCTTCTATCCGAGGGATGATACAAAGGAGCTATACATCTGCAGGGGTGACTCATTACCACCTACAGGAGTCCCCTCAGACAGGAAGATGTCTGCTTGTCAACTCCAAGACAGCTGCCCACTCCTACAAGAAGTCGCTGTGACTAAACAGCCACAGACCCGCTGGCCCTGAGCCTGGCCGCCATCTGTACTGTTGCAAACTCAAGGGAGGAACAAGACCAAGGCAATCCCGCAACCACTGAAAATCCACTTGATTCATATGCACAGGACACACGTTCCCATTCAAAGTACTGCATGTGTAAACACTCGAGTGTTCTGAGTGGGCCTGTCACAATAATGTCTTGCCTATTGTCGCAAGGAGATGACATTTAGGCAGGTGGAGGTTAAAAGGAAGCCTAGCCTGACTCTCAGCACGTCTGCGCCACTAGGTCAAGTCTGTAGATCAAGTCTTGGTATCATTTTAACATATATCCACCGCTGGCAACTGGTTTCTGCGCACATCATCAGCTTCCCCGCTGAGATATAGCTCTGGCACAACGTCCACCAAGACCTTCTCTTTCAAGCAGAATGAGTGGTTGAGGAAAGATTTACTGGGTAAACATTTCGATTCATCTAAAGCTGGGGTGGGAAAATGCATGTGCATCAGGGCCGCATCCATCCATCCATCTTCTGAACCACTTGCTGGAGCCTATCCCAGCTGTCTTTGGGCAGTAGGCGGCGGACACCCTGAACTGGTTGCCAGGCACTCGAAGGGCACACACACAGACGAACAACAATCCACGCTCATAATCACACCTAGGGACAATTTGGAGTGTTCAATCAGCCTGCCATGCATGTTTTTAGAATGTGGGAGGAAACTGGAGTACCCGGAGAAAACCCACGGAGGCGTGTTGTCATTTCTTTCCTTCTCAATCGACACGACGAGCTGAGATTCACCCTCTCATCTTTGTCTTCAACTCAAAAGCTATGCCAGTCTCAAGTGAGACCCCCCATAATCCATGCCTACCCGCACTTGACAGCCACACTTTTTGGTGTCAGTGTCCATGGTGGTGAATGAGTTAATTCACCATTTATATCACAAAACATTTCATGCATAGGTAGCATAGTTTATATGACTAATATGCTGTATTGCATTATATATGGCATTCTGGCCATAATATTGACTTGACTAGAGTGCTGTACCATGTGGTGTTGTGACAAAGACCAATGCCTTCTTGCCATCATGATTTCCATTTCCATATCTTAGGTCAGGCTGGGGCATGATCCTTAACGTTTTATAGTGATCGTAAATGGGGGCCTAATTTCTCAAGCAGCTGTGTGCGAGTAATGGGTGTTTAGGTTCACAAATTTGCACGCTGAGGCAAACTGATGTCCTTGACAGTTGAAAAAAAAAAAAGAGAGCAGCATGATCCCAACGTCCCGTCAATTCAAAAAGCAGGACTCTGGCCTGCCTGGCTGACATTCCATTTCCCAAATGTTTTTCTTGGGTTGTGTTTCTCGGGGCTGTTTGTTGTGTTTAATTATATCGCTGTGGTGACACTTTTAAAGTGGTCACTGCTCGGATTAACAGACGAAGGATCAGAGACTGAATAGGCCAAATGTATCTAAGATTGCATATACTGTATATTGAATATTAGATTTGAACCTATTCAGGGACACTGGTTACTCCAGTGGACAAGATAAGCTTATCATGTTATCAGGTTACAGGGTGCATGAAAGGGTTAAATATTTATTTTCACTTACAGTCAGACTATTTTTGCATTTTTTTCCCATGTGTGGATGTGGGCCGAAGGCATAAATTTGGGATGCTTTGGCTCGTCAATGGTGGCGTTGTTGGTCCTGCATTCTTAATATTCAGAAAGCTTATTTACAATATTAGTGTTGGCTAGACCAGAGAGAAAAGATGATGTTTTTCTTTTTAGGTGGACATTTGCCTGAAGGAGCAGCTGAAAACAAATCCCAGAGCCTGAGCGTGCATTTTTATAGTGTCTGTCTGCCGTGAGGACTTTGATGGCAGCATTGCTTGTAGCGCATTTCTAAATTAATACACAAATAGACTGCAAGGCCAGCAAAACACGCTGACGCATTGTACACAAGGGCTCTCTGTTTTGCAGCCTTACGGACACTTTGCCAGATCTTCCACTTGTCAAATGCTGGGTGTTGTGGTCACGCTAACAGCGCATTGCATGCGTTGTCTTGCAACCGCAAGCTTCGTCAGTGGCAGATCAAAACGTAGCCGAGCCAAATCCCGTGCTCGGTAAATGTCACACATAGCTTTGTGGACAAAGCTCATGAGACACACGTAGCTCCTAATTAACTTGAGGTTTTATCAGCTGCATGCGAATCGTCAAGGTCACCGAACTTTAATGAGGATCAGGTGAACACATCTCAAGGGAAAACAGATTTTGAAGGTCTGAGACTAATGTACCATTCGGACGTTTTTTTTTTTGTTTGTTTTTCAAAAGTCGATCAACAAATTAATGAAATAAATTGAATGTCAGGCAGCCACCCTGAAAGAGATTCTTTTCCAGCTCCAAAGTTCTATTATGTTAAAATAAGGAATTTCATTTGAAAACTATACTATACATAACTTGTTGAACACTCATTTCTTGTGATGAAAATACTTGACATAATATCATTATATTCCCATACATTTTGGATTATCAGATATCATTATGTCAGAGTTTCCGTTTGATGAATCGCTGGTAGGAAACATAGGAATAGAGTAGTTTCTAGCGTACCACGCAGGCGCTATACCAACCACCCACATCCAGTCAGTAGCCAAATAATTGACAGGTGATAAAGGGTTAAGCATTTTTTGGGGGGTTTTTTGAAAGCAAAAAGCTGGGAATGCACTTTGAGGGAGAGCAAGTCGTTTTTCTATCACTTCATTAAAATGACATTCTGCTTGAAGCTAACCCTATCAGGATATTGGAAACTTCGGAGTGGCCAACGGGAGCAAAAAAAAAAACAAATAGACAAATGGAAATCTCCGCCTACACAAAAGGCTCTTATGTAACCTGGAAATGCTTGTGGCTTGGGCGATTGCAGAACGACAGAGGAGACTTTCCTGAGTTTCTCACATAGCATCTCGATTTACTACTTTGGAATCTATTCTGGTTTGAAGTTTGTCAACAGACGCGGGCTGTTTCATCTAACGTTAGCCTAATAGCATAACCGTCGAGTCTTTTTTTTTTAATTAATTTTTTTTACTGCTTTTAGCAAACAAGAAAACAACAATTCGATCACAAAGATTCCATTTGCCTCACATAGACTTTTTTTTTTTTTTAGCAAATACCTTTTTTTAAAAATTGATATTGTCACAGTCAATTAAAAATGAAGTAGGCAATTACGCTATAAAGCTAACAATAAGCAGTAGTGATTCTCCGTTGACCGTTACCTGAAAGGACAATCTGTGAAAGCACAGCTTTGTTGAACTTCTATCTGATGTTGACGCCCCAAAGTGCGTTGGTGTCCGGCCTATGGAAAGAGACACAAGTGCCAATCATGCTCACGTGTTCTTTGTGTGCCTACCTACCGCTAACTGCCACTCAAACAGACTCATTATTGTATCTCTCGTCAATGATCAACACCGCTGAGATTCTACTCGTTGACCCGCTCAGGCTGTACGTGATGTACTGCGTACACCAGCGGTAGACGAGAATATCCGCCGCCAGACTGTATGTAACCCAAAGTGGATATGTTTACAAATGCAATGCGATCACTTTTATAGACCTTTTATTGGTCTATGCCCGTTTTTTTCCACTCTTGTCATCCAAATCATTCCGAAAATCATACGCGGAAAGTTCTTGGTTTAAATAATGAGTGCGCCACATGGTACACACGTTCGCCATCATTTGTGATTTCCTCGACTGCAGAAGAAGGCAGTGATCACAATCCAGGAAAAAGAGAACGCACTGACTATGTGTCGCTACAGATTATTTTGCCCTTTTTGATTTATGGTGTGGTTGTGACACAGCCACACAGCAGAGTCGTGATATCCTTACAAAGAGCTACTGTTGACATTTTACGAGGAAAACATTTGCTTTTATTTACTTGTCTGATAGATATCTCACCAATCGTTTGCTTCACTGAAGGCCTTTGGCAGAACTTGGTTATGTGCTTGGAAAACAAACAAACCCAAAAAAAAACCCAAAACACCACTAACGTTTTGTCGTACAGAGTAATGCAATTAATAAATGTTGGAGGAATCAAACATCAAACATTTTTTACACAAGATATTTAAGGTCAAGGTCAAGGTTTATTTACATAGCACATTTATAATACAGTTAACACGTTCCAGACTCGTTCTTCGATATCGCACCCAATACAGTGGTACCTCTACATACGAAAGTCTCATCATACGAAATTTTCAAGTTATGAAACGCCTCAAGAGAAAAACATTGCCTCATGTTATGAAAGAAATTTCAAGATAGGAAAGGTAAAATTCAGTATGGGCTGCTAATCGCAGCTGCGGGTTTCCTGAACGCAACATACTTATAGCTGCTGTGCCATTGGCTACTACGATTTTACGTGATGCACAACTCTTATTTATTGGTGCAATAATCAAATTGTAGTATGTATTTGTCACATATTTT